CTGACTATTTGTATTTTTGGGTAACCTTTTTTTGGAACAGGTAGGTGTGTCCGGCACCTTAATGTTACGGCTTCGATTCTCGATTGCGTGCCTCGTGCCTTTGGTATTTTAATACGTTCTTTGTGGCTTTTTATGTGACTTCGTGTTGGGTTCGCTCTTCCCAGATTAGCGTTCGGTTTTGTGCAGGATTCTGGAATTTTATATATCTGGAATTTTTATTATATATAATCATTATTTTAAATATTTATTTTATCTAATGCTTTTGGTTTTAGCTGGTATTTATAGCTTCAGTGTATGAAAATAGGGGCAAGTGCATATGGCACTCTAAACACGTAGGACTTAAAGAGCGGCTGAAGGTCAATTCCTGCCTGTCAGATACGACTTCTGTCCGCAGGCTCCAATTGAAATTCGAACCTTAGCTTAGGAAATCGTAAATCGATCCTGGTTTGAATGGAGCAGGAGACCGCCTGGAAGGTATAAGTAGCCTTTGTTAAGATTCTTTTACCCGTACTGTATGTATATTTTAATGTATTCAATGGAATCCTTATAGGTTCTGTAGAAAATATTATACTTCTACTCAATTATTTAAGTTCGATGCCAGGTTATTTGGTTTCTCATAGCATGTACGAATATTATATAATTCATATAAATTGTATGAAGATTTGTTGGATTAAAGATTTCTTTTTATATTTAAGATGCTTCTAGGTTAGTTGTCGTATGTTTTCCAAATATGGACTGTTTGATATAGGCGCGGTCGTGAATAATCTGACCTCTTGATAAAGTGGTCGATAAAAAAGGTTTATACTATGCTATACCAGATGGTGCAGTTTTGTAGTATTTATGACTGGTTTAAACCTAATCAGTTTATACAAATAGCATTATTTCGATATTTTGTTTATGAAAACATACCACAATATTGTTTTCATTTTCTTGTCTTAATGAAAATATTATAATTGATAATTTGAATTCAAGGAATAGACTTTCAGAGAATTTTATCCAAACTCTTTTTGATTGACTCTGATCATATGAGTTTGTCTTCTTAATAATTGAAAGTATTTGATCTTTTGTAATGTAACGATTTTTAATCTTCAATTTCAAGTATATCAATCTGAAATTCGGTTGGCGACCTATAAAGAACCAAAACATTGTCCGATTTGTCAGGCACTTGGCCGACTTGCGGTATTAGTATCGAGTGAATTACGATACGATTCTTCCGGAAAATCGATGTAAGCGGTTGCGCAATCGACTCAATATCGATTTACAATATCGTGATTTGTTTTTTTTGTCCAACGCATATTTTGGTGAATATATCGAGTAATACCTACTTACAACAATGTTATTTAGTTTATGATGTGGTTGAGGCAAATTGTTAACAAATCTAATTCTTTTAATGAAAATAAACATTAAAAATAAATTAACCTCTAAAATAAATGTATTGTTCGATAAATCTATTATCTCTTTTTATACGTTTATTTCAGTTTATATTGTTTGCATGTATAATTCCAGTATGTTATTATCTAATTTGTATACGTAATAATCAATTTGGTACGGTACTATGCTTACTGCTAGGTAGAGTATGCTTTTATTTGAGAAATATACTACAAATTTTAATGACCATTGTAATATTTAAGGACATGTATTCACTGTAAGATTGTTAAATAAACAAATCTTTCAATTGTTGTGTATCTACGTACTTATATATGGAATTTTTAGCTTCGACTTCAAAAGGTCTAACTCTGATGCTATTAAATAAATTAATATCAATAAAAGACTGATTTTCAGAACTTCATTTCGAATCTTCACGATACATTTAGATACTTCTATATTATTTCACTACGATTGAAGCTACATAGAATTAAGGAAAGTTCTCATGTATCTTTGTTAAGATATAGACGTGATTGAATTTAATGTTAGAAATCTCTCTCCGTTCATCCCGATCACATCTCTTACAATTTTGCTGTCATTTCAGATGCTTCGCGGCAAATCCTAATATTCAAAATATCATAGACGCTAACTTTGCGTAAATAGATGAAGCTTACACCTAAAAACTACTAGACAGCTCCGTATGAAATTTTGTACATAGATAGATCATAATCTAGATTATTCTATATTACTTTCTACCCGAATTAATGTAATCAACGTTGAGGTATAGAGCTAGATTTAAAAAAAATAACAAACTCTGTCAATACAAAGTACGCATTGGTCGGTGAAATGAGGTCTACATACATTTGCTTGAGGCTTGACCTCTCCACCTTGGCGAAAGCGAGCAAGGTTGGTAAATAATAGTCGCTGAGATAGGAATGTCTATACTCACATTTAGTGCTTGGAAACTTGCCACTAACAAACTGTTGAAGTCCCGCACTTTGCGTATTTTATTAAATTGAATAGCAACCTGGAAATATCACTTGCGTGAACTCCACAGCCTGCCGTTGAATTTTCTATAAGTATTAGGATATATTTTATCTTCCGAAATCATATTAGAATTAATGCCATCAAACTAATATTATACATGCGAAACTGTGTCTGTCTACCTGCTATAATCTGAATAGATTGATTTCGCATACGAGTATGTCCTTACAAATATGTATGTTTAATGTTACTATAATAAAAAAAATTGTCCTTATTCAAATAATTGACGTAATTTTCTTATATAAGTATCTATGGTAATAAAAAATATTATTTCGCAAATAATATAAAGAAATAATAGTACATAAAAAAATGTATAACCTTGTATAGGTAAGTCCTGTTTGGAACTATTCGACTCGATAATTATGATTAGCAACTTTTTTTTACAAGAAAACATAAACTAAGTAATATCTAATCTATTATGAAGTAACTATTATTAAATAAACTAATAAGAGACCGTCATGATTTAGTGATTTATTACCCTGACTTAGACCGAAAAGTTTGTGAGTTCAATTCTGACCGACACCTTATTTGTATATTAGGCATATGTCTGGATTGACAGTCATGAAGATTGACATACATATATATATATGTTATCAGGGAATGCGGTATATCTGTATACGTAGATAGTTCACAGTCCGTGATAGGAATCCATTGTTTGGTTGGTGCCATGCTTGCCGTGTGGTGGTTTGTAAGTGGTCGCCCTCCACTCAAGGTGAGGCGGTCGACTGACCGGTTGCATTCCATACACTACTTCGTTTTTTACCATTGTTGCCTGACGAAAAACCATTGCTCCTTAAACATTAGAGAACGGGATACATTACTCCGCTTCCAAAATCTGGAGATTCTCAATTAGACTGATATGATGCATGTGTGTATACGCCATAAAATCGCAAAATTTGTATTGATTTTGATAATTACATTTGCAATTAATAGAGTGACAACGAAAGTAGGTTTATGGTAATACTAAAAACAAATGAGTAGTTGCGTTAGTTTTTTACAGAAAATGTTGTATAATATATCTAAAACTAAAATATATCCCAAGCTTTGGAAACTAATTATAACTCTATTATTTATACATTGATAACTACTTATTTGCCATAGTTTCTCCTATAGTTGCTATTTATATAGTATATAGAAGGTGTGCGTAGAAATAAGCGTTTAATATAAATTTAATTCTATAGAACGCGGAACTAATTTTATGTTGCTTCATTTATATTTAACGTTCTGTAATTAAAGAAACATGTTTTGTAAATTCATTATTAAATATTCAACAAACGAATAATTAAATTTAGTTATTTACTAAACTAACTATGCCCGCGGTTTTACCCGCGTTAAATTTGAATGAATTTGATGTATAAGCTAAATTACTGTTATCAAAATTCGTTGAGTAGTTTTAGCGTGTCTTTCACGCTAAAACTATTCATACCAAACATACGAGTACATCCATCCATACTTAGAAACTATCGCGTTTATAATATTAGTCAAATGTATCTATTAGGAATATATACCAGTTCTCTCTATGGATGTATATAAATACATATATATGAATACATAGTTAAGTACAGAAATTCTCTAATTAAGGATCTATAGAACAGAGATCTACAGATAGATATGGAGTTGGCACATTAGTGCAGGCCTGGCCAATTAACGTCTGAATCATGCGAAATCGACTCGAGTCGCACTCTCTCGTAGTGAATACTAAGTGAATAATATAAATAGAATTCGAGAAACTTATTGATGGCGATACCAATCGCAATACGATTGTAAATTCTAGAATTCTCAGTTTAAATTTATGCATGCATGGAAGTTTTATACTGAAGTGAGTGCTTAGTAAACATAACGTAAAACATTATATTCGCTAAAATTACGCATAAATTGAATGTTTATCCATTTCAGATGAATGTAAATTATGTTATCGTGACTGTAAATATATAAACAAATTTCTTTTTTGTTTTTGGGGTAAACAAACCATCAATCCATTGAAGAACTCGAGTACGTCTGTTTTATAGAGATAAACGTTGTATACAAGGCGAAATACAAAATTCCATTTGCACGAGTAGCAAGTGAAACTTATGTTATGGATAATGAAATGAGTGAGGGTATTTACCTGCCCAAACCGTATTTACGGTTCCCATCAGTGGAAAATTTAAGACGCGATTGAATCCGGGAAAATTAGGCCCACATGGTGAATTCGTCTGGAATTAATCACAATTGTTTCTGACATTATAGGTACATAACTTGGAATGGGCCCACTGCTTCCCATTACTAACAGTGTAGGGAAATATTGCAAGTGAAACTTAGTAAATATATTTAAATGGATGCGCTGTATATATACGACCAATTTCTCTCGGTTTTACACACAACTCGATACAGCCCGAGGTCAAACAACCCAGCAAACAAAATGCAAATTTGCTTATGACCGCGTATCTGAGGAATTCATGTCGGGCCACAAGGACATTTCTCAAAAGAAATAGAAGTCGTAATTTTGCGGATATGTCGTTTTCAAATTAATGAACACACACGGTAGTTTATGCAAATGTACCTTTGTTTTCTTTTCATATATTGACAAAATGGTGTATCTTTCTTTACAGAGTTTAAAAAGATCTGGAGGCGGCTCTACTGTACTGAAAAGTTCTTGGTAAGTGAGTTTTGTCCTTCTTTATTATATGTAATTTATATTATATAGTTTTGAATCTGGTATTTTTATAGACCGATTAACATGGATCCTGGACCTGGTAATTAATCCTGTCACTCTGGAATAATGTACGTTACAAACAGTTAAACAACAAAAGGATTTAATTATCTCGTACATAGACAGCCTTAAAGAATATGTCTCATTTAATTTAAAATATTACGAGTTGATGCGATCGAAGCTATTGGAAAGAAATAGTTTATATTGCATGATAGCCGTCTAGTCTTGAACTAGCCAGAGCTTGTGTTGTGGGTGCTAGACAACTGATAGAATAACTTAGATGCCTTTTTTTTGTACTTACGTACATACATATAAAACACACCGACCAATACAAACAATCATATTCATGAATACAAATGTTTGCATCGTGCGAGGGATCGAACCCGCGACCATTCTAAGTAAAATTGTGTGCAAAACAGGCAGACCACCAAGGCCGTCTACTAGTCATTTCTTGTTTTCTATTTATATTACTTAAAATACACAGTAATGTTTACATTATATTAGGTACAGATACGTTATCTGCAATCACCAAATATGTAACTATTACAAGACACACATTTTTGGATATACGCATATTTGGTCTAAACTTTGCAAATATTTGTTTCAAGGCGGCTTCTGATGTCATTATAGTCGGAAAAGAGAGGCAGTTTGCCTTCAATACGCCTGCCTACTGTTAAAATATATTTCTTCTATTACTATTTATTACTGAATAATTGTTCTTTGTGTTTTATCACTATTATGCGCGGATTTGTCTGCTTTTTATTTTAAAAAAATAATTGCATATCAGGCCTACTCTACAATCTTTAGGTTATATTTTATTATATTTCATTGTGATCCGCTCGGCTGTATCGTGAAAAGGTTAGAGATAGACAGAAAGACGGATATACGTTTAATATATTAGTATGCATTTTTAACTTATTTTCAACTGAAATAGCTAACCAAACTGAACGATTGGGATATGGTAAACTATATTGATGTGCATAAGTGGGGAAAATGTATATAGGTATCACCTTTTCCTTACAAATTTTAAACGGATTTTGATCTTTTTTCAGTCAAAAGAATTTACTGCAGTAATAAATAGCCTGTAGGTACTGTATAAAATACCGATAATTATGCCTAAAATAATAATTGTTAGTTATAAAATAGTTTATTAATTTGGTAGCTATAAGAGAAGGGCTTAGTCTGCAAGTTTCGTATTGCATACAGAGTAACTTAACGGTTCAACCATTAAACTATTCAACCGGCATATTATTATAACGGTTAATTTTGATACCTACAAATTAACATTGATAAATAATAAATTATGAATGTATGGAAACAGTTTAGAAGTATTACGCGACCTAGATTTTATTGGTATCAATACATTATAAGGTAGATTAGGAGGTATTAAATTATTACTAATTAATTCATTGTTATCGTTAGATTTTTTTATTGTGACCAATTATTAACATAGATAAGTAGTTGCACTTACCTCTCACCACTTTCCGCATAGAAATATAAAATAACATACTGCCTATGTCATTGACTACTAATTAACTCACTACTATGTAATTTTTATAGTTTTCTATAAGCGTAATATTTTTAATTTTGGTCAAGTATATTTTAAATGTGTCCATTACAAACAGGTATAAAAATAATCTTTCTCCTCTTTTTTAAATTTTTTTCCGATTTATAATATTATTATAGAATAATATGACTATTAGAAAAGTAAACAGATGCAACGCTATGATTTCAGATTTTATTACCACAAAAGTTATTTTTGAATCATTTATTTTTATTTAAAATAAATTATTAACTAAGTTAGTATTTGTGGTATGTGAAAAGGTTAATGATTCTACTAACCGTTATGAAATTTGGCATTCCTGTAGCATTCAGAATGAAGATATGGGTTACTCTTTTTCTCGATAAATCAAAATATCCCAATTACGTGGACGTAATCACGGGCATACTAGGAAGTATTGTCGTACACAATGATTATTTTATATGAAACTTTTGCGACTTTTGATCTTATAGTGGTTTTACATACTATCTCACCTATTAATGGTTGATCAGGAGATCAAATCGAGGATTGGATTGTAGGATAATAGACGGAAAAGAGTAGTCATGATTGTAACAATTGTTATTGACCTGGATGTTTATCAGCCTAACATACATAGTAGCAGAACTACTCTGCTTAATTTCGGACTAATTAACGTTGTTTATATGTCCCGGATTATTTGTTGTTCATTTAAAAAATAATAAACAAACAAATTAGCAAACCCGTCTAGAAATCTATGGAACCTGCTTACTCTATAACAACTCTTTTATGATTATTTCATTCATGATCACTATCGAAAAGGTCGTAAAATAATGATATGATAATGTGACACTAAAGCCCTGCCCCGTAAATTTAAATTCTAATATAACGCAATATTCACCGATTTCCGCTAAATGAGTTCCACTTTATAATTGGTTTGCAAAATTATTGCAACAAGATTCGCATGCCAAACTCGTAGGCACCTCGAGAATACATACCTATAGAATTTCTCATACGAATATGTGAAATGCGTATAATTATTAGATTTTGTAATTCCTCATGTGAAATACGAAGCTTATGAAGCAGTAATCTTTTAAAGATATATTTGTAATGGGTAAAAATACTTAAACAATTTAAAAAATCTTTCTGGAAGGTTTTCAGGGAGTAACATATTTAGCTGTAATTTATTTTGCTTTACATTATGTTTAATAATATTTTGGTATATACGGATGAGTGTATATATATATTATTGATATTAAAAATCCTTCAGTTAAAATATATTTTGTTACATGATCAATTACTGAAAGTAATTTGACGAGATATTTTATCACATATAGGTGTTTTCTAGCAATTTTCAACCTTGGGCAATATAGTATAGAGTTGTAAATGTTGGAATGAAAACTAATTCCAATGTTGGATGACGTAATGAAAAAGATGCCTTGAAGTCACAATGGTTACGCCTTTCAATCATTCTCTAATTTGACTCCTAAATTTATTGAAAGTTAATTGATGGATCATCCGCCCATGTTATGTTTAAATAATGATAATTAATACGTGAAGGTTTTACATTCATATATGTACGTCAGTTAAAGAATAATGAATATATACTAGTCGAAAAAAATTAAGTACATAATTGTTATATGTACAAACATTATGGTACTCATATGATTTACCGAGGTATTCTTTGTAAAATGTCATTGTTGTTCCGGCTAATCTCTGAAATGGCTGGACCAATTTTGACGGGACTTTTTTTGGCAGGTAGCTGATGTAATAAGGAGTAACTTAGGCTACTTTTATTTTAGAAAAATAAAATTAAATTCCATGTGGACAAAGTCGCGGGAACATCTAGTAGATAATATAATAGTTGACTTATGGAGACAATATTTCTGATATTTGGAAGACACTTGAAGTAGTGCTGTATCTTCTAGATAAGCGCGGAATGCGAAAAATGTATGATAAATATTTACCTACTAGGTTGAAAAAATAAAAATATATAAAAACAAACTAGCTAGTCATTTTAGTGAAACTAGTAGCTTTCAACCATCTGGCGCATTATATATAAATTATTTAGACTCTAGCTTATTTAACTAACTTTGCCTAGTACTACCTAATGTACTTACCTCTATCTAAATTAATGGAATGAAATAACTCTAAATATTTTCAACATGTTTATTATTATTCTAGTAATATAACATTAATTAATCATTTCTATTGATAAATATTTATGCTCCTAATTATGATGATAGTTTGTGGAATGGTAATACTCGTGGTAATATTTGCGCGCGAAAGCTTTGATTTTTTTAATTTATTTGTATGTAATATATAAATTCAAAACCTAATAAGAGCAGAAAGAATTATATGTATTCCACGCAATATGAGCAATATAAGTTTATATCTAGAATGATGAGAACTGGTATATCTGAATAGATCGTCAGTGTAGTCAAATGAATGAACTACCTGGTACTCTCTAAATTTTCTCTAAAATACATTTTTTTAAATATGTACTTCGACGGTAATATGTAACTGATAACTTGTTTATTTAAGACATCTTGTGCACATTTATCATTCGATTTAGATAGAAAGATTGTTTTCTCGAGACATTTTAGGTCTACATTGATTTTGTCACAGGTCAAAAACAACCACAACCCTTAACTTCAATTTCTCCCCCACTTTGGGGAAAAACCCTCCAAATTGGCATCACTGGTTGTGAACTCATGGCGTGTCGAAAGACCAAACCGTTCGACAAGTGGCGGCATGCTGTTGCGTTAATGATCATAAAAAAGTATTCAAATCGATTCACGTATTTTGATCATGACTGGTTCCACGAACATTGTAGGCCAAAGAGTAGATTAGATGTAGATGGACATTTATTTTTTAAACTGTGACGCTAAAGACGGATGTTAGATATAACTTTAAAATGTCTATTATATATGTAGTAGTCGAGATGTTTATAAGAAATAATTTATGAAGATCCATTCTGTCATTTGACATCAATACATTTTCTAGTTGGACTGTAGGAATATTACCAATTTTTATGTCGGGGTATATTATGTTTTTTATTAATTTGAACTCGTTTATTGCTATACATATACGTAGGTACCATCGTCTTTAATATTATTAGATAGCTTATATATTAAATATCTCCAAGCAACGAAAGAATACAAGCGAGTATCAAATAGTACTTAGCCAATCATAACTTTATTTTATATTATTTTTATATTACTTATTTATAAAAACCTAATTATATAAATTTTATAATTGTTATGTACGTACATTACTTCCGTTGCCAAAAGTTCTTAATTAACAAAATTATTTTTTTAAATCGGACATTTCTCCATCTACGTAATATCACCATCATATATTCTGTATCTATCATAAATGACAAAACTAATGAAAATACTTAAATTGTAACAAAAGTACTAATAAAGAT